CAGTAAATCAGTGTAATGAGATGTATTCACCCTATTTCGTGTGAGGTGATGAAGGACTGGTAGTAGAATTGTCCCACAATCATATGAGTTGAGCTGAGGTTTTCATTGAATTTCACATAGCCTTGCTTTCCCAATAGTTTTTCTCATCCCAGCTGGGGTGGACTTCAGTTTCTACCTCACATCAGTCTTATCCACACCCTCAACGGGAGCCGAACCGCCGAGTGGTTAGCCTGTCAAGCTACCGTCCTGCACTGTCGCGGTTCGAATCCCGCTGAGGGTGTTGATAGTTGATGCGAGGTCAAAACTGCAGTCCACCCCAGCTGGGATGAGAAAAACTATTGGGAAAGCAAGGCTATGTGAAATTCAATGAAAACGTCAGCTCAACTCATATGATTGTGGGAAAATTCTACTACCAGTACTTCATCACTTTACACGAAATAGGGTGAATACAGCTCATCTTATTGATACCGACTAGACAACACATTTCTGGCACCATGGCCTGCAGAAAAAAGGGCATGATAAAGATTTCACGTTCTACGATGTTGTTTTCTGTCGAAGAGCGTTATTCTGCCGCTTATCACGTAGGTACAGCATTTCATGTGCACCGAACTTTCACTCCTGTCGGCTCGTCTGATGGGAGAAAACGTCGTGGTGACAGGCGCTGGAGCAGAAGTGGCACGATCCATCGCTACTGGAGCCAATTCAGCCTCGGCAACGACGGCCAGCGAAGACGTCTCCCTCCACGACGCTTGCAGAAAACGTAGCGGCCCTTTGACATTTGCCAGAAAACGGGTATTCTGTTGCGAATAAAAGTTGGCCTTCGAAGAATTAATTTGTGATAATTGGTCGCAACATGACTTTCCAGTTCGAGGGATAAGTTGGCGGTTGGAAGGAATTCGTGAAACAGTCTCACCCAAAACCCTTTTCAAGGCACGATATTTACACCAAATCACTTGTTGCGTCTCGTCTCGGTAGGATGCTCGTTGCTTGGGCACTCTGTTCGTCGCACACATACACACACAAACACACACAATGCCTACGTATAGTTTGACTTCGTTTGAGGTGCCATTGTCAGGCCTCTGGATCCGTCTTCTACTGGCCCGGAGCTGGCTGCCCATCCAAAAGTGTAAAGTTGGCGCGAACACTTCAGAACCAAATTAGTTTCTGTCGCTTCTTCCATTTCACGAATCGAGGCGTCACCAGCCCGGGCATCTTTGAGAACAGCAGAACATACGAGCTTTCAATAGTCGCTCCTCAACGCTGGCTCCACAACTAATGCCGGATCGACGCACGAGAGCACTGGTCGCCGTTGGTGAAGGAGCCTTTGAGGCATCGAGGGCGTCTGCAACAGGAAATAGGCTCTTCATGGCATCGCCAGACTTTTGGCGAGTTCGATCGGAGCATCTTCGTCTGCAGGCACACACAATTTGTTTCTGTCCTCGCACAATGTCTCGATGGTCAAAAAACGGCAGAGTCGCGGAGGCCACATGTTGGCTGGTTTGTTTTTCG